GGATAAAAGAAAAATAAGACCAAAGGAATATCAGAGAAAAAAAACGTATATGAGAATATATATAAACTAGAAATAGAAACTAAATCTGTTGACTGACAACACTTTCAACAGAACATCTCGATATGGACGTGTGGCTGTTGTGATTTTTAAGTTATAGGCAGAGGTACGAACGTCATATGTAAAGTCGACCTGGACAACGAAATACCCAACCAGACTAATTAGAAGCATTGAAACAACTGTACACCCTCCCCAGTCAGTTTTCAAAATACGTCCATAAACACCAATAATGTTTAATTCATTCAACTGGCGCATGTCAACGAAAAATACCTCTTGAAGTATGGCAGAATAAGGATTGCGTGAGAGCTGAATTCTAAGAAAAAAGCCTCCATTGTACTTTACATTGAAAGTGTAAATTGTGGCTGTGAGGATTTTATTGCTGAATATACATGTCTGCGTACATGCATATGATTGAACGATTTAGGTTTGGTTCTTACTAGTCTAACGCGTTAACTAAAGGTTAAATTCTTCCTATTTCTCTCTCTCCCTCTCTGTGTGTCTCTCTTCGACCTTATCTCCCTCTTTGCCCTTCTTTGTATATGGTTTTGTCTATGCGTTCGTTTGTGTGTGTGTGCGTGTGTGTGTGTGTGTGTGTGCGTGCGTGTGTGTGTGTGTGTGTGTGCGCGCGCGTGTGTGTGTGTGTGTGTGTGTGTGTGTGTGTGTGTGTGTGCGTGTGTGTGACTGTGTGCTGCACGTTGGGCTCGTTGTCCAGCTTTCCTTCACACACGCACGAAAACGCACCTAGCGTGCTTATAGCAAAGGGCAGACTGTGTTTATGGCTGGCCGGTAGCAAGGGTATAAGGCGCAGTCAAGGACGACAGGAAAAATCATGGCAGGAAAACACTACAGAGGTGACGATGCTAAACCCGTCCTAAGGGCTGACCGATGCAAGAGACAAAGGTTTGAAGACAGATGTCAATTCTCGCTTCTGTCTTGTCCCCCAAAAGACCAGGTGGTCAAGGGACAAGGTAAGTAGGTAGGTCGATAGCAAGGAGAGCGATTAAGATAGGCAATTGTGTTTTTTGTCATTTTTATTTTACTCTCTAAATCAAATGCAGAATGCATTACACCTAGGACATTGTTTCTGTAGGCAAATTTGCTCTCATCTGTTTGACTTGCAGACGTTTCGAAATGTAAAACTACATCTTGACAAATCTCTTTGTTGCATTTTTGTCATCAGAACTGTAGGTACAAGAACAGCACAAAAATGTTACTATAAACATCTGCCATGTAAACACATCTAAACATAATATTTTCTTCATTTCCGACTAATTTTTCATGCACTGATATTTTCAGCTTGGTTGAGTCTCAAGGTGTTGGTATAGTGTTTTCACTATAAGTGGTTGAAACACATTTTGTCACTGCCACATGTATCGTTTTACAGGTGGTAGCAAATTGGGAATTTTTTGGCACATGGATGTGAGTGATTCAAAATCTTAATTCTAAAAGAATGCGTTAAAAAGACGAAATGAAATACAACACTTTTGTAAATGTCCTAAATCTAAATTTAAGAAAACAATGTCACTTTTATATAGTACTAGTTTCAAAACATCATCAGTTTCGTTATTACTTTGTTACATGTTTTTACTAAGTTGGTTTATAATTCCACATCTCTAACACTCCAAGCGAATACACACTGCATATATAATACAAAACATTACTGCAATTGAACATAAAAAGCTACAATTGACTCAGCATTAATGGCAAAAGTAAAAAGGTAAAAGAACACTTTATACTGCTTACAGTAAATCGCTCTGCTACTAGAGTTTTATACTGAGATATTTGATTATTATACAATGTCTTTGTTTTCTTTACACAGAATGACAAAACACTTGTTCTTGGTAGAGCAATCATCAAATTTGGAACAATTATTGAATTAAGTTTGTTTGCGAAAAACAACCATGACATCACCCTTAATAAAAGGCAAACATTCTAAAAAAATATAACCATGATTGTTACAATACAATAAAAATCTTCAGCCGATATAAGATGGTGCAAAATCTCATCCATTAAAAAACATTTCAGCATAGATGTCCTTAAAAAAACTTAGATCGTCCATAATGATACATTGTATTCCCTAAACAGAATAAAAAAAAAGCCCTCCTTTTTGCTTTGGTTAGGCAATCATTTAAGTTAGTACAACTATTTAAGTTAAACTTTGCAAAATACAACAATGGCACCATAAAAACTATAAAAAAGTTACACATTTTGAAATAGTTATTACTTATATTTTACAATACTTCCCCTCAAAATTAAAATACTACAACTCATTTTGAGACAGACTCAGCATTGATGCCTTTAATATGGGACTTTACATATTTATACTTTCTGCAGTACATTGCTCTGGTACTAGAGGTGAGTCAATGATTATGCATTGTGTACATTACACAGGATGACAAAATACTCTCTCCCTGTTCTTAAAGGGAATCATTCAATTTGGAACTAGTATTAAAGTTAAACATGGAAAAATACAGCCGTGGCATTACCAATCATCAAAAGTTATAGATTCTGAAATGGTCATTACGACAATTGTAACAATACTTCAAATTCAACATGAAAAAATAGTCTATATTAATGGTTCAAAACGACATTCCTTTTAAAAAAATAGCATTGATGCCTTAATGGAACTTCATAACTTGACTACTTTCTTCATTACATGGCTATGCTGCTAGAGTTCCATAATTATACATTGTATACTTTGCACAAAATTACGAAACACTCTTTTCCTGTTCTTGGTAGGTTCATGGTAGATTATAGTAATTACAGTAACTGTTACAATGTCTGCTGCTGCGCAGTATGGATCTGTACTCGTTTACAATTTTTTTTACAAAATATTACACTATTAAAGGCTCTTATTCAAAACTGTCAAGAAACAACTTTTGCAAACACATTTACTCTTAGAAATGTAAATAATGAACAATATCATGTAGGGTTAAGATTGGACTCTGTGATTAAGTAGCTTAGAATATTCATCTTGTCTCTTGAAAGACAACAGCATCAGTCTAGTCCACAACCGAAAACTACTTGTCAATGACTTTTTTTCATATTGAAAACTGCAAATGAAATATACATCTGAAGATACTATAAAAGACTCATTCTCCAAAACTTTTTTGAAATTCTTTATTCTTACCCAAATTGTAGGTCGCAAAAAAACAAAATGTACACTAACCACCTCAATTACAACTGCCATGTAAAGCAACCAATCTACAACCCTTTGGCTTTGCATGCACGCAAGCTACTATTAAAACTCTACATACTTTAAGTGGTTCTCAAGAAATGTAGGCTACAAAATTAGAATTCAAATCATTCTTTTAGGATGTGCTACCGACACACTACAAGAACAATTTTGAAATTCAAATCCCAGGAAATACTTCTAATAAAAGAATAATACATATACGATGAGAGAAAGAAAAATTTGATGTAAGTTGATCATGTCATCCATTTTAAGTTTTGGGCCTGCACTGCAAGTATGATTTCCTGCAGATTGTATTTATTACTGGGTATTATGTCCTGGTAACGAACAAGGTACTAACAAGTTCGTAAATGTGGTGCATTACCAGCAGGGGGATTTCTAGAAAAATATTATTAGGTAGCATGATCAGTATCATCAAGGCAAGGAAGTAAAGTACCGAGGAGGGGAGGGGGGTATACCCCTGAAAAGGGCGAAGCCTTTAAAAATCTTAAGTTAAAAAGAGACAATCTTAGGCTACTTGAGGGGGAACCTTTAAACAATTGTGTTTCGTCGTAAACAAAGTACTTGGTTATGATGTAACCAGTTGTGTACTGCGTCTGTTTACTCGGTTTATTTAACACCTTTAGTTCTTATTATTTCAAATGTTAACATTTACACTCACTCACTTAAAGAAATTTATAATTTGCTAGATATTATTCTTAATACAAATTTGTAGGAACAATGTATGTAAAAGCCATAGGGGAAGGATGACCTAAAATATTTCAATGCTTTTGTACATCGTTCCCAAATTAAAAGTGATAAATTTTACTTGTAGCTCTAAATAACAAAATGGAGTAGGCCACCAGATCAAACCTCTCACATGGCAAAATTGCAACACAGCCATCCATAGTGCTATAAACTTAGGTCTCATGTCTACTATGATATTGTATGGAAATGAAGGAGCCTTAGCTACTAGTACTATTATTGGTCTTTGAGAACGTTCTAAACGAACATGTTTACTCCATTTAGACGTTTTATTTTTCAATTACTACTAGGGCTAAATTTTACATATTTGTGGTAAAGTTTTATGATTCATAGTTTTTTGAGAACGTTCTAAACGAACATGTTTACTCCATTTAGACGTTTTATTTTTCAATTACTACTAGGGCTAAATTTTACATATTTGTGGTAAAGTTTTATGATTCATAGTTTGTCATGTTAGACGACATTGTTATGTGGTCTCAGTTTTAAATTTTTTCATGAAATTTTTTGAGATAGACTAAATGTTGTATATGTAATAACTTAGACTTCAATCTGAACATTGATAGGAGGGCGCTGGCCTGTTACATGAGGGCGGGGCACCCTTATTCAGTGTATGCTTTAATTGACATCTGCTTCCCTGAAAGATGGTTATTTTGGCAACACAAATTTGATTTGTACAATGTAAGACCAAATATTTCTAGGCGTTTTGAATAGAAATTATGAAATTATAGTGTTTCTACGTTTTTGTACAGAGGATTTAGCTGCGAAGCAGTCGGCACTGCGCCAAGGAATAGATTTTTGGCATTGAAGGATTTAGTGACGGCCTGCTACTGATCCTGCCATGTCTGATCATGACCAGTTTGTATTATTTCTGTAGATATTGTGTTCTTTGTTGCCGTTTTTACATCTGCGCACATAGGGTTTGACTGTAACGCAGCTAACACTTCGCTATGTGATAAATTCCCCACTTTTAGAGAAGAGTATTAGCTTGATACTGACCCTGCCCTGCCTAATCATGACCACTAGCCATTTCTGTAGAAGCTTCGTCCTTTGTTGGTGTATGTACATCTTCATACATAGGGTTTGGCTGTAAGGCAGCTAGCACTTCTTTACGTGACAAATTTCCGAGTGCGGGATTTTGAGCGTTAGCCTGAGATTGGCCCTGCCCTATATTATCAGGGCAAGTGGCTATGTCGTTCGTGTTGGATTCACTGATGGCCTGAGACTGACCCTGCCCTGTCTCATCCTTACCACTGGTCATTACAGTTGCTGTTTTGTACAGACTATTTACCTGCGTGGGAGTTGGCCCTGTGCCATAGATAATATTTCTCACATCCAACGATTCAGTCACGGCCTGGGACTGGCCTCGTCCCGTCTGGTCATGACCAGTGGTTATTCCAAAGGGTTTGGTGTTTGTGCTGGATTCAATATTAGCTGGAAACTGACCCTGCCCTGTCTGACCATGAACAGTTGTCATTGCAGTAGCAATGATGTTTATGTTGGATTCAGTGTTGGCCTGAGACTGACCCTGCCCTGTCTTAACACGTGGTTTGTCAATATCTTCATACTGGTGATCATTATCACTGGCGCTTACAGTATCTGTTGTGTTTGTCGCGGATGCAGCTATACCCTGGGACTGCCCCTGCCCTGTTCTAACACGTGGTTTATCAATATCTTCATACTGATAATTATCATCACTGACCATTACAGTAGCTGTGGTGTCTGTGTTGGATTCAGGGTTAGCCGGAAACTTACCCTGCCCTGCCTGATCACGACCACTGACCATTACAGTAGCTGTGGTGTTTGTGTTGGATTCAGGGTTAGCCTGAAACTTACCATGCCCTGCCTGATCATGACCACTGACCTTTACAGTAGCTGTGGTGTTTGTGTTGGATTCAGGGTTAGCTTGAAACTTACCCTCCCCTGCCTGATCATGACCACTGACCATTACAGTAGCTGTGGTGTTTGTGTTGGATTCAGGGTTAGCCTGAAACTTACCCTGCCCTGCCTGATCATGACCACTGACCATTACAGTAGCTGTGGTGTTTGTTTTGGATTCAGTGATAGCCTGAAACTTACCCTGCCCTGCCTGATCATGGTCACCGGCCATTACAGAACCTGCTGTGTTTGTGTTGCTCTCAACAGTACTGGGATTCGGCCCTGGAGGTGGATTCCTGGTCCACCTCTTATTCCAAATTACAGCCAAGAAGCACAGGTAGAGCGAATGAGAACAAGGGTGGAACCAGGAGCAGATTCTGGTTTGTCTGAAGTGATTGCAAGGGGCGAAGTTAGTGTTGCTCTTGTTTTGCCTGCAGGACTTGATGTTGTTGAGTCAGGATCCGATAATGGGACAACATTGAATTTAAAGTGCCAGTGATAGTTAGAGGTTTGCTCTTTACATATCAATTCAGGATTAACATGTGCAAGCTTCTGTCCCTTAACCGTGTCAGGTTGGTCACAAATTACCTGGTCGTGGAATGCAGGAATTAGTCTTGCGGGAGCCATCATGCAGTCACACTTCCATGGGTTTCCCTCAAGTTCTATGGTGATATTAGATGGAAACAAGCAGAAGACTGACATGGGAATGGCCGACATGTTGTTATCTTGAAGTTTCAAATTTTTTAATAGTGGCCGTTTTGCAAATGCTCCAGAATGAATGATAGTTATCTGGTTGTCGTTCAGCCACAACTTTTGTAGCTGGGGAAGCTTGGAAAATGCACCAGAAGGGACGGTAGTCATCTGGTTGCCGGACAGATTTAACTCTTTTAACCTGGGCAAATTTGCAAATGTACCAGAATGGATGGTAACTATCTGGTTGTTGTTTAGGTACAACTTTTGTAGCTGTGGCAGATTCCCAATTATACCAGAATGGATGGTAGTAAGCTGGTTGTTGTACAGATACAACACTTGTAGCTGGGGCAGGTTTGCAAATGTACCGAAATTGATGGTAGTTAACTGGTTGTAATGCAGGAACAACTCTTTTAGCCGGGAAAGGTTTACAAGTGCAGCAGAATGGATGGCTGATATCTGGTTGTTGCGCAGGTCCACCCTTTGTAACTGGGGCAGGTTTTCAAATGCACCAGAACCGATGCTAGTTATTTGGTTGTCACCTAAGTACAACAGTTGTAACTGAGGCAGATTTTCAAATGCACCAGAATCAATGCTAGTTATTTTGTTGCCACCTAAGGACAACCTTGGTAGTATCGGCAGATTTTTAAATGCACCAGAATCGATTGTATTTATCTGATTGGAGCCTAGCTGCAAATGTCGTAGCTGGAGCAGATTTTGAAATGTACGAGACCGAATGGCCGTTATCTGGTTAATGTGCAATGACAATCCTTGTAACTTGGGAAGATTTGCAAATGCACCAGGTTCGATGGTAGTTATCTTGTTGTTGTTTAGGTACAACCTTTCTAACAGAGGCAAAGTCGGAAATGCGCGAGCTTCAATCTTTTTTATCTTATTGTTAGCGAGGCACAAGGTATGCAAACTCTTATACTTTAACAGCATATGCTGCTTTACAGTTTCAATACGTCCATTTTGTAAAGCTAACATAGGGATGGATGTTGGGAGGTTCTTGGGGATGCTTTCGAGGCGAAATTGGCAGTAAATTGATGGCTCACATCTGCAGAGATCCCCGTCTGTCATGTTGGGTTCCTTCAGAATAGTGAGAAGGAAAATCAGCAAGTGTCGAAGCTTTCTTCCCATGGTGTCCTTACACCTGAAAAAAGACGTCAAGTCTCTCATTTTAAAGGTTAAACTATCCTGATGCTGTTGACCTCAAACTTGAATCAACAAATTAGCAGTGACAGACACCATCATTAGAAAAAAATTGTACTAAAAAAGTTGAGGAGGCATAATAGAGTTTATTTATTACCAAAAGGTCTAGCCTTACTCATTGTAAACTGGCAGACACGTACCTTTTTAGACAGTCACAAAAGCTTTATATGGAACTTTCCGTCTATGTCTAGAGCAAGGGTTAGAGTCTGTAGGGTGTACCCTCCCTTCGGTAGCTAATCTGTAATGACAAAAAATCCAAGTCGTATACCCACAGTCACGGTGATTGTCCATTTTTCATGGAGGTAAAAATTCAATGACCAAGGTATTACGTAATTCTGACTAGTATTTTTAAGATGTCCCCAAAGTCCTCAGGCACCATTATACATCACCTTAAAAGACTGGGGGGATCGTTGGACAAAGAGAATTTCAGTGCTAGGGGGGGGGGGCATGATGTTAAAGAGCGTTGCTTTTTTTGTAAAGATCATGACAGTTTAATCGGTAGGAACAAAAAAAAATGTGCCCGCTTTCGGTAGTTGATCCATCAGCAATGTGAGAAACAAGATTAGTCTTAAATACATGGTGGAGTTGATTGTCTGAAAGGTGCTTTCTTGGATAAATTCAAAAGGGGAAAAGTTCTGTGCTGTTTGCGTGGCTTTCTTAAACATGGAAACGAAATGTGCGGCGCATTTTATAAAAAGGGGTGCGGTAATTTTGGGACAATGAGACGACTTCAAACGTTTTTTATTGATCATAGACATGGCTGATTTTTGTTTGTATTCATGCAAGTATCGAGGCTTAACCGCAGCGCTGCAAGCAAGTGAAATTGGAGTTTCTAGTTTCCCGCTTTTGACTTACTCAGTAGACACTATAGCAGCATTTGTTCATTTAGTTCATCCATTCATGTGTACACATCCTGAAAAAAAGGCTCCTCCAATATTGATGGATTTTACATTTCATTCACTCAAATATATAAAATATATTCATGTTAAAACGTTTGCTCTATTCTTTCTGTCCCTTTCACAGAAAACATATATTTTTAGCATGTGTATGATAATATACTCTCAGGAAGAAGACAGAAATTAAAAAGATACGTTGTTGCTAAGGCGTATGCTGAACCGCTGATCGATAATAGAGTTACGGGACCACATAACTGTCTCTTACGTCCGATCAAGAAACAAATTTAAAAAATGTTCATAGCAAGATATTAAAAAAAAACTGAGCAAATCAAGCAATTGAATCAAAGGATTTGCCTATAAAATACATGAAACATGTTTAACATGAATTCCATAGGAATTGCAAATGAACCAAGAAATGTGGCTCCGACGTTCCGAAACAATATTTGTACTAAGAGCTGTCTACTCTTCTTACGAATGAAAAAAAAAAACGCAAAAACCTTTCGCCTTAACATCTGCTTTTAAAATCATATTTTTATTAAGCCTTTAAGCCTCCGTCACAACCCGCCGTACGCGCTTCTGCGTTCTCCGCAGGGCGTGGTGAGTATCACCTCCGTACGGAATCCTACGGATTTGGGAGCACGCAGACAAGCCGTAGAACTTTAAGTGCATGTAAAACTTTTCTGCGTGCGGTGTACGGATTCACTACCTAGACCACACTCTTACACCTTGCGAAACCGTGCGACGCCACTCCTTCCCCACGTTTTCAGAAAAACTAGAGTTCGGAGGTCTCATGCCTTCGACAGTGCGATATTGTTTTGGTGGGTGTTGTGTGTGTGTGTGTGTGTGTGTGTGTGTGTGTATAGTGTAAGTTTTTTTGAAGATGATTATCGTAGTTATAGTGGTCACTGGACAGAGAGTCCTTTTGTGAACGAAGCAACATACTATTTACCAAGCCTGTACCATGTCTTTCTACGGAAATACGGATCGTAGAATTCGGCAAAAAGGAGAGAATTGGCCTGGGGAGTCTGGCCGCGAAAAGTTGTTTTCTTCCCTCCGATGCGCGGCGATCCAAACTTCAAAATGGCAAAAGCTCCTTCAACTAAATTCTTCTTCTATGCAGCCAGTGTTGTTGAAGCGTGCGATGTCCAATACGTTGAAAACAATTGCACTACAAAATCACACAAACTGGCCAATTATTGTGATGGTATGTGGTATGTAAGATAAATGGGTTCCTCCCGGTGAGTTGTATATCTCTAGCGGGCTAACTCCCTTTAGCGGCATACTATTCCCTTTATTTTGACCATTTTCTACTATTTTTCCAGCAATCCATGGTGCCTGGTAGAAAGTTAATCTTCCTCCACAAGGAGAAACTCATTTATCATATATGCCTTACTTGTTAGAGGGACCGTCATATCAAACTTTTAGCAGGAAACAGCCCGACTTTCTATACCAGCCCGGATGGTGTTATGGATTAGCCCAGGTCCTCCGGGGACGTCCCCAGAGGTACGCCTGGCAGGGCTGAGGTCAGTCTCGGGTGACCTACCTGACGGTTCCCGTCTATCCTGTCAATGCAATTTAACCTGGATAGAATTTAAATAAAATATGGATCCTAGTTGCAATTGAACAATCTTCAATTTTTGAGCTGGTAGTTATTTACTGGTTATTTCTCAGGTTGGCAAGGCAGTTTGGTTATGCTCGTTTTCTTGTGGGGGCCCACCGGACCATCTAGTCGTGAAAATCTATGATAATCCTTTCAATGGCAGGGCTTCTCTATTCCCTCTCCACACGACCCATTATGAAGAAGATTACAGGCATCAAACTCAAAGTCATTCATAGAATACCGCCGTGCTCCTCGCTAAAGCCACAAAGCTTATAAAGATTAGATACTGTTCAATGCGTTCAGACCACTTCCTTCTAGTGACCTGGCCATTGTGTACAGTATACCAACTTTGTTCTCGATTAAAACAAAGTTTGTTATCTTATATCGGGTTTAAATCTTTAAATCCTGTTGCATTACGATACGATATGCACAAAGACTACACAAGACTGCACAAATGTACATGCTAATGTTGTAGGGAATACAGGAAACCTATTCACATTAATGCATATTCCAGATTTGCCTGGGTGCCAAACCCATAGCACACTGGACACAAAGTATCTCAGTGAGCACTGATTTATATGGGCAACCAGGCTAATTCCAGATGTTCACACTGGGGGCCACAGACCTGTCAAATTAAGCACGCTCTGCAGGGGCACTGGGCCACTAATGTGTTTTCAACAAACATTTTCAAAGAAAACATTTTTTCAACTAAAACTAATGTTGACAGCTTCCTGTCTGTAACTTATTGTTTTAACCTAGATATGAATAGGTTTCCTGTATTCGCCAAAAAGCAGTTACTCAAGCAACTGGATATGATTTTGGAACGTCAGACGT